TAGAGGTTTACACATCACATCATTATAATCACAGAGCCTGTTTCACTAGAATCGTCCACTTGATGGCGCAGTAGAGCAAATGAATCATCACAATGCTTCAAACCATAAATCGACCAGTTGGATAGAAGCTTCAGTTCATCACGAGGCTTCATCTCACCAACACTACTCACCAAGTCCCGTTCAGTTATGTTCTTATTATAGTTATCATAAGAGTCTGAACACATATTTTACCCATTCTACCTGAATTAACACATGCTTCAAAACACAGTGAAGCAGCAAGTTTTTTAACCTTTAACATGTCTGGGCCTCTTTGCTTAGGCTGCTGCCCCCGCGACCCGGCCTCGGATAAAGCGGATGAAGATGGTTGGATGGATGTTTTTAAACACAAATGAAACACTATACCATGAATTGCATCATTGTTGTTGTTTTTTAATTAGTTTTTTAACCATTATGATCTATTTATTGATTATTTATCACCTGTAATATATTTCTTATGACTGTTTTTACTAGCAGGCTTTATTTATTGACAGCTATGTTTACCAGGGTTACATAGAGCTGCTCAAAGCTCATTCCTGTCTGCAGAGCTCATAGTGCAGGAGGCCACTAGAGGGCGCTGTTACACAGGCACACACTCACATTTAAACATTCAAACATTTAACAGTAAAGTGTGAGCGACAGAGACTTTAAACGAGAACCTGAACATGAAAACAGAAACACTGTGACCACAAACACTGATGACACACTGTGGATGTGACGTCACAGTGGGCATTTACACACTCTTTAACACACACCTCTCTGATTTCACCTGAACTCACACTTTAATAAATTCACCTGCTGATCTTTATTCACACACAAGATACACGGCTTGTAATTCCTTCCGCAATGAGAAATGAAGTGCTGGAAAAACTACACGATGGAAATCAAGGTGTTGTAAAATGTAAAGCTCGTGTACGCCAAACAGTGTGGTGGCCCGGGCTGAGTCAACAAAACTCTGAGATGGTGATGCAGAACATGCATTCAAGAAAGACACAATCACAGTGAGCCACTCATGCCAACAGGATACCCTGCCCGCCCATGGCAGAGTGGGGGAAAACGTACCTTCTGGCTGTTGACTAGCACTCTAGATTTGTTGAGATTGCTTTGTTAAACAAAATCAAACGATGTCATTACTCACCTGAAATCTTTCTTCGCCCGTCATGGCATCCCAGAGGTCCTCATGTCTGGTAATAGGCGACAGTATTCAGGTCAAACCTTTGCAGACTTCACAGCAGCGTACGGCTTTAAGCACATCACAAGCAGTCCTAAGTTTCCGCAAAGTAATGGAGAAGCAGAAGGTGCTGTACAGACTGAAAAAAAGCAGCTGATCCATATCGAGCTCTTCTTGCCTATAAAGCTACACCACTGCACCACGTCTGCGAACCACACTGCCGATACTTCCATCGCAGCTGGAGCTGACACTGCCGGACGGCGCACTGCTTGCTCCAAAGGAAAGGGAGAAAAGAAATATTCTGTTTTTGTTTAAAAGGGGAGATGTAGTGTATTCATAATTGTCCCTGGCATCGCAAGAAATTAGTTGTTTTTATAAATATATGGGTATGCATAATAGTTATTATTCATAGATACCTACATCCCAAGTTCCTGTTATTCATCTGAAAGAAGCAGATAGAATGAGTGTCGTTACCATGGTAATGCCAGGAGAAGCAGTATTGGTTCTGTGTTACATTAATGTTGTAAGAAAGAGGAAGAAGAGAGGGTCCTGTAGGACGCAGTAAAATGGACACTGATGTTCTGAACATGCACTGAAAAGAAGGTTCAGTAAACAAGTCGCAACGATACTCCGGTGTAAGGCTCAGTTATCTATTTTTGTTTTTGAAGATGCAACATTTGTTGTATGGGCTGTATGTGTTTATTGTTCGATTGTGTAATTACGTGTTGCACACTGGCAATGCATGCAGGCGGAAATAAAGTGAGTAAAGAGTTGGTCTTAGTGCACACAGTTGTCCCGCGTACTTATTCCGATTCAGAAGTAAGAATCACACACAAACTATAACATGACAACACTGACTGGGTAGTTATCAGTGAAAGCAAAAACATTAACAACATTAAATGGAGTTAACAAGGAACATATTACTGTTTTTAATGGTACAGTCACAGTAAGTGGGCAAAGAACTGCACATCAAAAATGACAGGAAGGTACCAATGGAAGCAACAGCTGAAGTCAATATGACATTAAAAGAGATTAAAACACCGATCCTGTGGTAAATATCAGAGAGCAACACTGACCTCTGTATATTCTTTTTACTGTTTAAATTTGAAATGTTTTTGCTTTAGTTCTTCAACCACGTGGCGCGTCCGTGTGGTCATTCTTTACTTCTGCTTGAGCCGAGTGATTCTTCTCACTGGACTCCTATAATGGTCTAATGATCATACTTGAAAGTGCAATAAAAGCCATCATAAAACATTAAGTGCATTCATTTTGACAAGAGTCACTACAAACAAATGGAAATGAGCACAGTATGCACCAGCTACAGTACAGTGCAAGCAAAAAAACCTACTCAGGGCATCAGTTTTTAACAGTTTAGTTTTAATACCTGAAACATTTGCACAGCACTTCATGTTAACAGTAGCTACATAAAAGCTCTATACTGACAGTTTTACACGTTAAATTCTTAAACAGCTTACAGTCTGTATGGGATTGTCTTTTGGATAAACTCTGATAGTCACAACCTCAATATTCAGCAGTATTGAACCCCCAAAACAGAAAGCTCTCTGCTGTAACATAAACAAACACCAGGAAAAGCTTTCTGGAAAAATGGTTTTGAAAAATACTAAACCATGGCTCCATTATGATGACTACAGCAACTACAGTGTGTTATTCGATTCAATTTCTCTTCTGAAGAACTGACCAATGGGTGTAAATGTTGTGGGCATGTTGTGAAGTTAACTCATAGACGAAGATAATATGACAGGCAGAAAAAAAACCAACACGGCGTCCAACCAATGGGCAACCCAGTCCAATGGATTTCAGCTGATTTATCAACGAATGGTAACTCAATGGAGCAGACTAAACCATAGCAACGTCTGTCTTTCACTGAAAGTCTCGTGAACTCTTTATGGACATCTTTGCAGTTCTTCCAGGAGGAAGAAGTGCTAGGATTTTTTTTTAAACTAAGCATTTCAAATTTGCAGCAAAGAGGAAAAATATCTTAAAAATGTTTTCTACAGTAACAATCAAAATATTCACTGACAAACACCAGGGCTGAAAGAAGTATTTGGTTTAATAAATGCCCCTGCAGTATACAAACACTCCACTAGAAGTAAACCTTGCTAGGTTGTGAGCATCATTAATAAAGGTAATTACTCTGTTAAAAATATTCCCTGTGTTCCTGTTATATATTATGCTAATGAACTAAACTAGCCCTAGCATTTATATTCAGTTCATGAAATTACTTAAGCAATTTAGTGCAGTGGACGAGTGAAGCCGAGCTGATTTGAAGTCATTTACAATCTGCTGGGAAATATTTTCACTTGATTATCTGCAGTCGTTGAGCTCATGAGAACATCTGCATGGAGATCGTGTAAAAGAAATATCTATGGATTAAAGTTAATATACGGAGACAATTTTATTCAACATTACTGGTTACATTTTTGACATACAGGTTGAAGACTGGTGAAGAATGTTAAATTTAACACACTGTTCTAACATCTGGACCTCTCTGTGAAGGACTGAAGAGCTAAAGAAATGCCGTCCTCACTGGACCTTAATTTCTTGTCATCTCACATTTTGATAACGGTGATTAGGGGACAAACACACGTTGAGAATAATTTGCTTGTTTATGTGCATGGATAAAATCATACATGTAGCACTTGGAAAGAAAGCAACTGGGCATCTTTATGACACTTTTATTTATCTTTGCATTTGGGATTTTTTAGACACATTTTTTTTCTCGGTTACTTTTTTGGCCTGTGTGGTCTTGTGTGGCATTTTCTCTCATAGTAATATTGTTCAGGGATTTTGTGTTTCCAGATGCCATTAAATGCCATCATACATGCATTATACACAGTGATATGTCTGTATGCTTTGAAGCCATGACAGTGCCCGTCATGCACACGTACAGCTTGGCTCCCTGTGCGTTTCTTGCTACATCCTGCAGAGCTGGGGTTGGTACACTCTTTGCCCCTTGAGTCACTGCGATGGGGAGAGAAGAAAATGGGGAAGAAGTCGAGACAGAGGAGGAGGGTGAGGAGTAATATTAGCCGAGGTGGAGGTGAAGATGAGGCGATGCCGACACTTGCCATTGCTGCGAAGCCCACGGTGGGCTGGACTCATGTTAAGGTGGTGTGCTGACAAGGCGTGGCTAGAAGAAGGGAGGAGACGACTCAGATTCAGAGATGGGAAAAAAGTTTTGTGAGGACAAGGAAATGGAAGGAAATGAAGAGGACGGAGAGGGGGATCAAGGTGAAGAGCCTGATGGACAAACTGAAGGAGTTTTTCAGCAAAGAGTTCAGGAACGACAGCTAGGCACATCTGAAGGAGGCAGAGAAGGCTGAAGGTGAAGAAGCAGTGGAGGAGCAGGAAGAGGACAGGTTTGGAGGTCATCAGTGGCATCTGGGCAGTGAGAAGTGGACAGATGGGTGTTTCCTCGAGCTAGGCTTTAATCAGAGAAGCACGCAAAGCAACAACACAATGCTTTACTGCTTCTGCTGACACCGCGGGTTACAACAAATCAGTGGCAGTGACATGCACACGACAGGAGAACATCACTTGATATATTTGATTTGATTTGATTTGATTGAATCTTTATTTTGAACATGTTGAAAAAGTACAACAAAATAGAATTAAAAGAGACAAATGAACAAAGCAAAACAAAAGGAAAACGAGCAACCACAACTCCAAATAAAGTTCATGTTCAAAAAGGAGCAGGAAGAGTAGAATGGGAGGCAGAGCCTTCAGTTTTCAGGTCCATCTTTTATGGAACCAGCTTCCAGTTTGGATTCAGGAGACAGACACTATCTCTACTTTTAAGACTAGGCTCCTTTTTGACAAAGCTGGATCAGTTATGCTGCAGTAGACCGGTTGCTGGGGGCTTCTAATGATTCACTGAGTGTTTCTCCCTTTCTCACCCCTTTTCACTCACCATGTGTTTATAAATCACTCTGTTTTGGAGTTTGTAAGTGCTTTGTCTCTTTGTCTCTAGGGGCCACCGTAGATTTATGCAGTTAAACTAATTTCTAGAATAGAAACCAATGAGCAGTTTATTTGAAAGACCTGTGTTTTTTCTCTTTTGAATATTTATTATTTCTCATTAAGTACATACAAAAGTATTTCCTATCGGATTAATCAATGGAATGATCAATAGATTATTTGATTACTAAAATAATAAATAGCTGCAGCCCTTTTTCAATGCATCACTAAACAAGAACGGTAAAACATCCATGCAGTGCTTAAAGGATGGGAAACCTCTTCGTGCCATAAACATGAAGTGAATCAGTGGCAGATGTTTCCACAGAATTATTCATTTCTGTAAATTATGAATCCTGATGTGTTTGCGTTTAAAGAAATGGAGTTCTGAACTCAGAAAAACTCACTGCCAGATGAAGGATAGTTGTACAGGTTACATGCAGGTCAAGATTCACTCACTGATGTAGAAACTTCAGTGTCAAATTTGTCTAGTTTCAAGACATTACATGTTTAATTTCGATATAGGAGATGTCACTAAATCTCTAATGTATACAGGGAGTGTATCTTGACAGTACATCTAGAAACTTTAGGACGACGCACATCTGAAAAAAGAAGAACAGGACAAAAATCCACTGCAGAACACACACAAGTGCAATCAAAACATCAAACTCAATTTAAGGTCATTTCCTTGTCCATTATTACACAGCACCCAGCTATCCTGCTCCATTTGGACCACTTTGTGGACTCTCTCTACACACACAGTAGGTAGGTAGATGGGGTTGAAACAGCACCAGAGTCATGCAGTGCTTACATTTCTATCATGTAGAGCATGGTTTCTGCTTTTCTAATAGCACAGTTATATTGACTCTTGTCCCATATAGTTACAAGTATAGGTTTATTGACTTGAGTTGGAGACAACTGAATTGAATTGAAGCTTCAGTATATTTATTATAAAACTATCATTTATGTTTTTGCACTGTGAGGTGCAACTGTAGAAGAATATAATGATGGTTGACACAAAAAACCAACAACAAAAACACCAAACAAGAATACAAATCCTTGAAACATTAGATGAACTCCTCTTTAGTCTACGATGACTCAGAGCTGTTAACCTCAGGTGTCCTCAAACTTCATTTACCTGGCTGGCCTGTTTCTGGGTGAACTGCTGCTGGCCCTTAGGAGTCTTTTCTGGTGATCCAGAGGCACGGTGAGATTTGGCATGAGATCGCAGAGCAGAAGAGCTGGAGGTGCTGCTGGAGGTCTGCCATTTACAAAAGTAAACAAAAGGTTAGTATGAGACAATGGTGGATAAACTACATTTATATAGCCCTTTTACTAGTCAAAGCTAAAAACTATACTGTGTGTTGCTGAAAAACATGTAGGAGATACAGAATGTTTTTACAAGATTCAATTAGAAGCAGTCAAGAGCTTTAGATTAAAGCATAAATCAAGATTACAGATGACATCGGACATTTAATGACACTGTAGAAAAAATAAAAATGCATGAAAATCAATGCTGCTGCCAATCACTGACCCATCTCAGGGGAGCTGCCATTTTTTCTTTCTTTTTGGTTTTTACGATAAAAAAAAACAAGCAATGAAGCTGTGTATTCATACTGGCCTTTAAAGTAAAAAGAATTATAACTAATTTTTGGTATCTACTGAAGTAGTTTTAAAAGACTGAGTCATTTAAAGTGGAAAAAATCTTGACTTCTTCTTCTTCTAAAGCAGTAGAAGAGTCGGGATTTTTAAGGATCACCCTCTCACATAGTACTGTTTTCCTTTTCAAACATCAGCAACAGCAGCAAAGAATTTCCCTGAAAGGCACACATGAAGAAGAAAAAGGCAAACAGCAATGCAGAACCCACACTTGTGTTCAGAAAACCTAGGTTATGGTAGGAAAACAACTTTCCATCGGAGATGTGATTAAATGCATCAGTTTTCTTGTTAATTTTGGGTAGTTTGAAGATTTGTCTGTGAGAGGAATTCAAAGCTGGTGAAAGACAAATTCAAAGAACACAGAGGTAGATGGTAACGCTGCCCACCACCATCTCAGCAAACTGCAGTGAAACAGCTGGGCAGAGGAATATCAGACCTGTTTCTTGATGCCGTTTCTTTCGCTGGCACGTGCAGTCTGGGGTTTGGCTCTCTTACTCTCAGGTGGATTTGGACCCTTAGTGATCTGAGTCGCTGACCTTTTGGACGGACTTCTCTCTCGTTCTTGTTTGACTTTTCTTTTAAGCTGAGCTTTGTCAGCTGAGTCACATAAAGAAGCAGGGGCAGTTATACTCTCCACACTGATTTCCAACTGTTTAATCGACTTCTCGAGACTGTCTATAGAGTCGAACGCATTTTTGCAGAGCTCCTCTACCCGGTTATGTGACTCTGAATGTCTGGTATTAATATAAGAGGAGATATTGTCTCTGTCGCAGGCACTGCTTTCGTCCAACTTCATTTGTTCCATTTTATTAATTTTAAACATCTGCGATTTATTTGTCTGGCTCTTGGTCTCCTTGACTGTTGTGCCACATGCTGCTACTTCCTCCTCATCAACAACAACTTCTTCCCTGTTTTGTTTGCCCCTGTTTCCTGTTTTGATAGCCTGGCTAAATGCTGTCAGTCTTTTTTTAGGGAACTTGAATTTGAATTTCCTTTTTGTCTCAGTTTTTTTAAGTGAAGGTGATTCAGTCTGGCCCTGGTTTTCAAGAGCGGAGCTTTTATCTGTTGAAGGTCCTTCATGCTGTATTTGTGGAGGATTCTGACCATCTCCTGTCGTGAGCGATCCCATATTAATATTCGCGATACTACTTTTTCTAATACCCTGTTCCTCTTCCTCCTGGTTTGTCTTTTCCTCCTCTGAAATGCTCTCTGGAGAAAAAATCCCACCAGTATCTTCCTCACTTTCAAAGATTGTAGACAGCCGCTTGTAGGCCGACTGAAAGTCCACGGGCTGGTTCAAGAAAACAATAATAGGTTTTCTGTCAAACTGATCATTACCGTCCTCAAAACCGTGGTTCTCATGTCCTACATAGGTGGGCTCACCAGCGGTGTCCCCAGATACTGTTTGTATTTGAGAGCCATTCATTTTGGCTGAGGTTTCCTCTTTGGACTGTGGTCTGACTCTGGTCTTGGAGATTATACGGCTATATTTACAAATCTGAGGCGGTGGAGGGGGCGGTCCCTCACCAGCCTCATCACAGCTCAGGCTACCTCCGTCTTCTGTGTATTGCAGCTGGTTACCAGATACTAGCACTGTTTGTTCCCGGTTCCCCTGCTTGCTACTACAATCTAAGATGGGTGACAATGGGGAAGGTTTTGTAACGGAGGTTGAAGTTACACACTCCTGGTCAGGCCTCAGTGACGCATTCTGCTGGACTGGTGGACCTGATGTCCTCTCGTTTTCACTGGATTCTAAAGTTAGAACCACCATCACATTAGACTTCTTCTCTGACGCTTCTTTGGCGGTTTCATTCATGTCTTTGGGACTTTTGGCACATCCTTGAATGTTTTCTTTCTGTAGAGTAACAACTGTTGTAACCTTGACCTTCTTTTCTTTTGTGGCTGGCGACGATACCTGTCCAACAAACTCTTTCACTTGATTAGGAGTTCTGACATTTTCTTTCTGTGAAACTCTTCCTACTCTAAGTTCATCTAGTTTTATATCTTTGTCCTGACTTGATGTTGGCTCCTCCTCATCAGTCTGGAAACGTTTAACATCTTTTAAAGTTCCCAGTGGAAATATCTCCACATCCTTTACTGTTGGACAAGAAGGCACTTGTTCAATTACCGTCTCCACTTTGTTCTCAGTGAGACTGTTTTCCCCACCTTCTCTGTTTGCTTTTAGTCCAGCTGCTGCTATGACAGGGTAGTCATTTGTAAAGCACAGCTGAGGGTCTGACTGTTGGTCACATGTTGCTAACTCATTAGCTACTTGTGAGTTTAGAAACGTCCTCTCCTTTTTTCCATTTTGTTTATTTCCAACTGATGAGTGATTCTTATTTGTCAGTTCTGTCACCTATGAACAGAAAAGGTAAAATGAAACAACAACAGAAACAGTACATATTTCGCCTTTTCTGCACAATAATTACTTTAAATTTACATCCATGTTTTCTCAGTACAATCATTCATTATTTTACTTTAAATGTAATACAGCAATGATCAGAGCCGATATATGACAATGATGATTTTTTTGAATAGCTCTTGAGACAGAATAAATGACTTTTTTTCCTTAGAGAAGGCTTTGGCACACTAATCCTCTATTGCGATGCATGGTGCTGCCACCACCATATTTAACCCATAAACTGATATGAAAAAACCCACAACTCTGTGCTTACCAATAAATGGTTTAAGGGTGAAAGAAAGTTTGATCCCAGTTTAAAAGGAAATTAATTATTTGAAGAGTCAAAGAACGCGAACAGCTACAGTTTATTTTTCCAAAAAGGTAGGTACAGAGCACGAACAGCACAGGCAGCATGTTTATGAAGAAAGGAAGCTTCTCATATGGGCTAAGAAAAACTAAAACTTCATTTTACTCCTAATTCCTCACTGTAATCTTTTTTTTCTTCTTGTTTTTGTAATAGGAAATTAAAAAATCAAAGTGACAGGAATATAATGCAAACAGTTCATTTCAGCCACGATTTAAACAGAATTACATGAGAATGTAACAAACTTCCAGATGAGTTAAACCAGAGCTAACAAAAAACACATAAAGGCCAACCTCTATATTGCAACAATATTTCACACTGCACATAATGACAAATGGTAAAGTAAATGGACTGGTTCTTATAAAGAGCTTTTACTCTACCTGAGCACTGAAAACACAACATGCCTCATTGACCCATTCATACAAGCACGTTTTTAGGCTTAAGTGCTTTCAAGCTAACATTCACACTTGGAGGGATGCATCAGAGGAGTCAGGGACTGAACCACTGAATAGTAAATGATCTGCTCTACCTCCTGAGCTACAGCCACCCCATATGTTTACACAGTGTCCATCTCTAACTACAAAAATCAGTATCTTACAGCAAATACAGCAGAACACTGTCCAGTGATGCTCACTGGAAAAAAAAATTTCTGAAACAGGTTTAATATTTGTTTGTCATGACAAATTCATCATTAACAGGAAAACAAGTAAAGTTCAGCTTTTGTCAGTTAAAAGCAGAGAAAATCCTGAAATTATTAGTCAAAGCAGAAGCATGTTTAGTCCACTTAGGGCAGGCTAAACTAAAACACAAACCTGGATTTTTAACTGTTAGATTTAGCTTTCCACAGGCTCATCTCAGTATTAGCAACCTGGTGTTTTCTTCAGATTAAAAATTTTATCTTAAAAATAACTATTTATTTAGTATACCTGCAGTTCTTTCAAGACTTTCTCCTCTTCCTCTTCCTCCTCCCCCTCTTGTCTTTGTGCTGACACTGCAGCAGGGGCAGAGGTGGATATAGCCAGATGTGCAGCAGTGCACATCTGGGATTTGTGTTTGACCTCTGGTGGCTGTCGTGGAGGTTTGAGCTGAGGAACTAGAGGTAGCTCTTTTCCTTTATCAGCTTCATCCTGTGCAGACTGCTTGTGAAACACAGAACAAAAAGAATTTAGGTGTCTTCTGTCACTGAGAAAGCTCATTGTCTAAAACCATTGGAGTCACTTCATCTTTTTTAAACAAGAATGCGCTGTTGGCTGTTGTGAAAGGATGTGTAACATTAATTAAACTACAATTTGAAGTCATAGGTTTAACATTTTGTCACCCTGACCAGTTCGCCAAAGGGCTAACACAGACACTAGTAATAAACTACTACTAATAAAAAACATACAACTGTCGCTCTAACTTCAGGGTTTGTTGTACTAAAATTAATCTGTGGTTTGATTTATTTACTCAGTTACTCTTTTGAACATAGTGCAGTGTTTCAATGTTAAGTGTGAAGAACTAAAAAGAAAGTGCTTATTTGTTGCTTAGATTGTCTGTTTGGGAGACAGACTGTTGGAGTCAAATTGTTAAATGTTGTCAGTGTGTTACTTAAATTTGTAAGTCTTGGTTCAAACTGTATGATCAAAGACATTCCTTT